TTGATGTTTTTGTGATGTCACCAAAACCAATAGATAGTTGCATGCAAAAGTTTTGGCACCCCATGTCCAAATTACATATTTTGTTCATAAACGCAAAAACTGGAAAAAAACTCTCAGATAGAACCGGTTTTATGATGGCCAGAAAGGCAAAGCAAAACCCCCATATGACAGCAAAGTACCCGAAGGTGCAAAATATAAATTGCATGAAAAAGCCGTCAAAAGGAAACCTTACTTGCAACCTTTTCCAAAAAGTCAACAGTATGCAAAAACACCTTCTAGATAAGCCAAGAATAAACAAAAGTATGCCTGGAGAAAAAAGGGAACAGCAATTGATCCAGAGAACACCTTGCCAACTGTTAAGCATGGGGGTGGATCTATTATACTTAGCTTGGCAGCTAGTAGCACTGGAAACATTATATGAGCAGATGAAAGAATGCATTCCACTAAATATCACCAAATTCTGAAAGCAAAAATGATGCAGTCAGTCAAGAAACTTAAGCTAAAATGAGGCTGCCTTCTATCACAGGACAATAATTCAAAACATATCTCAAAGTCAGAAGATGGACTACTTCATGAAATGCAAGCTTAGGCTTTTTTTAATGGCCCTCACAGTCACCTGACTTCATCTTCAAATCTATGATAGATCTTAAACATCAGCCCAAGAATTTCACAGAAGTGTTGTGCACGGAAGTATGGGTGAAAATTTGTAAAACAAGAACAGAAAGAGTGCTAGCTGGTTACAAGAGGTGTTTGCAAGTTGTGATATCTGCCAAAAGGGCTGTTACTAAGCACAGACCAATTTTTGCACGTCACAATCACTATTTAACTTAATCAAACAGTAACCATGCATTGAAATTTGTTTGCATTGACAAGTGCATTTTGTATGGATTTTTTAGATTGTTGAGGTTTTGTTTACTTCTTTTCACTTTTAAAATCTACCTATTCAGGTTACAACAGTTTATCTGTACCAAATTATGTTGAAGTTATAAGGAGTGTTTCAGGCTGGACTAATTTTTGAACAAGGCAACATACAGGGCAGCCAATCAGAATCAAGATAATTTACATATAAATATCAGTATTAAACGTACAGTAACAAGAAGTTATTCTAAGAAATAAAGTGAGAATGGAAAATGGTCATGTAAGAATGAATTATGACTGCTTTAGATACATAAAAGCATACAAATGACGTAAGTGAACACCAGTAGCAAAACCAAAACTTTAGGAAAAGCATTTTCGTTGTAAGCATGCTGCAAAAAGGTCTGTGTTTAAGAGATAAAGAGGAAATTCACCAGATTTACCAGATTCACCTTAGTCTAAGTTAATATGTGCAATGGCCAAATGGCCAGTCTCTGCACTTAAGTTCATTTAATTTTCAGAAATAGGCCAGAGGTGATGGGTGAGGTTTAAGGTCTGGCAGCATGCCCGCTGCTCACCGTCTCTGCCAGTCTGAGCCAGAATTATCCCTATATCTGACAGTAATTATACTTTGGCCAGCCCTCTGAGAAAATGATCCAGATCATACCACACTGCACCACCGCAGAGCAACACACTAATCCTCCCCCTTCAAATCTTAAATAGGAGGGTTTCCGTGAGTCTACTGTACTGCAGCGTCTTAATGCAAGGGCACAAATTTTGAGAGGCTCACTGTAGAGACACGTAATGATAGGAGAGGCAAAACAGAACATGAAAGCAGAGGAAATTATAAGAGTTGGTGGAGAAAAGCATGCAGGCAAACTCAAAGGCTGAGAAGTGAATAGCTGACACTGTCGGTGGTTTTCGAGAGTTGTCAGTTCAGAAAACCAACACCAAAATAACCCCACACAGACCAAACCAAGTCTAACAGTCTAAATTACACACATCCTAAAACAACCTTGCACAATAAGCCCTAAGTCAAGCCTCTAAATGAGCCTGCATTATGAAAGGAATACTAGGCATTTTCTTGATATGACACTTCAGTGTTCAGGCACTTTACTGCAGTTGAGGCCCTGATTATGCCTACTAAGCTGAAATAGAAGTGGCTTGACTGAAAGCTTATTACAATGAAAGTAAGAGGCCTTTAGTTCTGCACAATTAAGCATATTTTAATTGTATGTGTTAAAGCATGAAAAAGTAAATAAGATTAAAAAGCATTTTTTGTAATTCAGTTGCCATGTTTGCAACTTTTAACCCATTTAACTTTAATACATTGACATTTCTGACATAAAGCCTACGCAAATAAACCCCCTGAACATGTCAAATGACACTGAGCTGATCTGTCTCCTGAGTTAAAAAAAGAAAAGTTTTCAAAGAGCAGAAGTTGTTGACTAGAGTAGAGGTCCCTGATAACACCATTTAAGTACAACATTAGAACAGCTTAGAGAAGGAAGTTTCACCTCTGCTCTCTCATTTCCTATCATGAAGGCTACAAATGAATAATACAGAGCATCACAGCATGGCTGTAAGAGATAGTAAAAGGGGGATGGATCTGGGCTCAAAGATAGAGAGGTCTAGTTGGCCAGAGGATGCTCAATACAGGACCTGAGTCACTTGCTGGAACACTTCCTTCCTGTTTGTGGTCTGCTGACTGGCACACACCCTCCAAAATAAAAATAAATATCAACAAACTTTTGGCTTTCTATAATTTATGGTAACTCTGGTAAACTTCACCTTTTCATTTGTCATACAAGATGAAAACATCAAACCTTATAGACCCATCGATTATTTATGGACCCTTCTTTTCTTTATGTTATTTATGGTAAATTGTACATTTTTTCATTCATCTTACAAGTAAGCAGTTCTTCTAATTTAGCGCCTGTCTGGCCATTAATTGGGTAGGACAGCCTCAATTGTAAGATCCAAATGGCATTTCTTTTTTCTCCTGATAAAAGTCATGTGTACATGCAATAACATTTCTTATATTATGATCAGGTGTGTAAAATACTTGAGTATTATATTGGACGATTTTTACTTTAATGAACCTGAATACTTTTACTCAATTACAATTTTCTCCTTCCATTTTCATTTAGACCTTCAAAGTACTAGTTACAAACCTCAAAGCAGGAGATTTTGTTCTTTTTCTTTTGCTAAACATCCAACCAAATTCACATCACTGTAAAACAATACTTCCCATGACTATGCTAATTTGTCTTTGTGCAAGGACTAGTACTGTCCATTACTCGCCTTACCGCATCACCAATGTCAGAAAACTTTGTTAATTTTTGTTAAACCATTGACTTTTTTCCTATATATACTTGAGTATGTTTAAAATGTAGATACTTTGTAACTTTTACTCAGGTATAATTTTGGCCCCATGCATTGTACATTATAAAAATGATTTCACATAAGAACAGTTTCTCTGTACATTTTCCGCTCCTGATTATTATATATGCAAACATGTGGTCATCAAAACATACTCACTCGTGGTCATATTGAACTTGTGAACCTCTTTGGCATAGTATGCCTCCTCCTCTGCATCTGGAGATTCAGGGCCCTGTATCACCTCATCACTCAACTCCACCGTGCTGTTGTAGACAGACAGCACATCTGCCGGCACCTCGTCTTCCTCTTCTTCTTCGGCCACCTCCGGCTCCTTGTTCATCCGCAGCTTGCTGAGGATCTGCCCTCGGATTGCCTCGATACGCTTTCTCTTCACCAGCTCCAAGTTCAAAGTTTTGCAAGTTGACAAAGCTCCAGTGTAGGACATGCACTCCAGCAGGCACAGCAGTGCCAGAAACAAAACCTCTGCCTTCATCGTCCTCAGATGGTCTTGCACGGTGTTAAGGCCTGAAGAAAGCTTGAGATGTCGAGAGTGAAATGCTCTGCTGTAGGCTTAAAGCGTACGCACGTTTAATGCTGGTTCCACTTCAGTATTCCAACCAAAATTTCCATTGGCCAGTGGCGCCTTTGCTTGAGTTCCAAACTCCAGGGTCAGAATCAGAGTCACTACACCACTGAGAAATTGCTGCCCATATCTGTCTTGCTGGCAGGCAGCCTTGCTGGATCTGACAAACACGCAAACTCCCAAATGCAGTCTCAGTGATCCAGCATGCTGCCACACAATAAACTAGAGACAACCTCGGAATAAGCCTCACTGTTACCACACATTATTTACAGTATATGTGGCACATGCAAAAGCTTTTATCGTTCTGTCCCCTATGACTCCAAAATTCAAATGCATGATTCTACATGGTTGGACCTCCTCTCCTAAGGATTGCTTCCTGACTTCGTACGCCTCACTTTGGTCTAAACTTAAGGAGTGAAAGAGGAAAAGGAAGCAAGATAGCTTAACAAAATGACACAACACTTCCTTCACTCCAAAGCAATTTCCCCATCAGAGCTAGCCCACTGTGCAAAACCAGTCTTTAATAAGGGGGTCTATTCTGCCACACAGATTGCTGGACAGAACTGCAAATATGCTGCATACTTGCACTCGCATCAAACCAGCATAGTTTCCAGCACTACAAGATGTGTTTGAATGAAACACAAAACCAGTAGATTGAAAGGGCTTATCGATAATAGTCTTTAGAGAATTCACATGACTTAAGACCAAAATCTTGCTCACAGAGTACTACAACACATGCTGTACAACTTATCCCGTTACATTACCACCATCAAAACAATTCAATCAAATCAAATTATTTCCATTCAACTTATCTGTTAATGAGGCTTTCCAAAAGTTTATAGAAGGCAGATGCCTCCCCATGGGGAGTATCCTAAATTCAAGCCGAATACAGTAGTCTCCCAAGAAAGCAGAGGTTTTCCACAGCGAATTAGTGGAGACACCCAAACATTACGCCAGCTGCACACACACCAACATGAGCCCTCTGCTTAGAACAGCTCTCTCCTTCCCTCCCTCCCCTTCTTCTCAGCCATTGGTTCAAAAAACTAAGAGGAACGTAGATGTAAACAGGACATGATAACAATGCACCACAATGCATTACCATAAAGCATCTAAAATTGTTACTTTGTTACTCAAACAGGGTAATTTCTACTGCCTTAATGGTAAAAAATGCAAGCCTGCTCTTGAAAAAAGGTGACAACGCTGATGCAGCAAAAGCCGTGAAGGTTTCTGTGTAGACTATTTTAAGGAGGTTGTGCGTCAGTCTACTTCTTTTGCTTCACATGTCATACCGCTTAACGTCAATCAGACATTGTTCCTTTTTTCTCTCTCACTTGTCTCTGCTTGCCTCAGACAAAAATGATTTGTGAGAGCGTAACGTTCCTTGCAGGATAACTCAGCAAACCACAACTGTTTCTCCACTTTCTTTCACTCTACTATAACAGCGAGACATTTTCCACGCAGGAAATGAGCATACTGAAACATCTGCAACAGATCAAAAGGGTGACTTTCCTCTCATCATCATCAGAACATAGTAGGGTTTACACATGCAAAGCAAAAAGGAAACCAATCCTATTTAATTAAACTGAACACAGTAGGTCACTAAACACTGTCTAAAACACTCTGTTGTAATGTATGCAAGTCCTGGAAAAGAAAATAACAATTTTTCACAAGAAAGTAGAATATAAGAATTCAGATTTACTCATGTTAAAACATAAGACATACTCCATCATAAAAACCACATATAAAATAGGTAGTAGAAAAATAAAAAAGTAATAAAAGCACTGAACTTTAACAGTCATGGAGAGGTAAAAACCCAGAACTTATCACTGCATTCCTTAATACAAATTAAAGCAAGACGTTTCTCTTTTCTCCAGAACTGTGGTCTGGCTATCTTACAAACCAGAGCTCAAACGATACATTTATGTTCACTCTTAAAAAACAAAAGTCACACACGCACTGCATTAGTAACTCCACTATAATTCAAACATTTTCTGTATCAAATGTCACTGTATTTTTCCATCACTCTATTTTCTATCTGCATATTGGAGGTGTCACTCTCAGCTCTCCACACCGTATCTGTCAAAATGCCGCAGAATGACGCAGAGCTCCAGTTCTACGGTGCCCATGGCAACGGTGTGAAGTCTGTATCTGTCTGCTCCACTGTAAATGAGGTCAGGAGAGCGAAGCTGAGGGCCTCCGCCCACAAAAATCTGAGCTAGCTGTTCCTGCCAGGTTCCCAGTGGCCTCCAAGTTGCACACTGCAAACGATGCTGTCCAGGGCTAGAGGGTATATGGCAGTAACCATAACCATACAGCTGACATCTGCCAAAGGAGTCCTGATGCCAAACCTGCAGGTGAAGCTTTGGCCAACCTGAAAAAGATATTCAGCAAGATGATTAAAATCACTGCTTCCGAAGTACAACTGCATTTTGGCATTTTATCAGGACATTTCATGTATACCTTGAAGACCCTTAGTGGTGTAATGCAAGTCAATAGGATGACTCCAGTAGGCCATGTCTCCTATCTGGGGCATGTCCACTTGTGTCTGTCCCTCCTTGAGTCCAGAGAGGAGCCGCCATGCTCCTCCTGATATGAGTGGCAGAGCAGAAAGAAGGGTAAACTACACTAGATGCACACCCAGGTGCAAAGATGAAAACAAAAGCCTTGCAAACTGAACTGATGAGGATGAATGACTAGGAGATAAGATTAGACACCTGTGTGAACTCCCCACTTGCAGAACAGGCTGCTTTGAGGGAAACCACTGGCCCCAACGATCTGTCCGATTATATGCAGCTCTGCCATAAGATGTGCTTTTCAGTACAAAAAAAGGTAGATCTGAAGACAGCAGTCAACAGCAGGCACATAAACTAAAAGAAACAACAAATGATAACAGGGTCAAATGTGTAAGTGGTTAAATAGCATTCAGAAAGAAACAAGCATGTATTTAATATTAATATAAATGTTATCAATATCAGTGTATTTCAAGAAACCAGAAAGAAATGGCCAAGCATTTAAAATGAATATGAGACCAATGATCAAAATCAATATGTATAAAACTTGCTGCAGTAATTTGTAATAAAACTTTGTCAATTAAAATTTCACTCCAGTCAGACTAGAAAAACCTCCTTCTGATAACATATCTTGAAGGTTGGAGGGACTTCAAAAAAAAAACTACACCTACTTTGGGGTTGACTTTTGGGGGTCATACAGGAATCATGCTCAAGCTGCCTTATGTGCATTTGAAAAATGTGTTTTTTTTTCACTAGCTGGTAAAGAAGCTCAATATTGTGACAGCACATTTCAAAGAACCTGTCCCAAAACATCCACCTCAAATCAGTCAAAGTCCTTCAAAGGTTCCTCCAACCTACAAAATACAACACCAGAAGAGGGGTTTTCAGTCTGGCTGGAGAGTCTCTTTAAATAAGGTCTCTGATGTAGAATATCTGGACTTCAGAACCGTAGATGGAAGCAGCAGTACAGTCTGATGAGTCATCTCTTTTTTGTACATATGGAAGGGATTATTTTTTAAAGTCTACTGAAGCCTTAAACCCACAAGTTTGTTCCCAACAGTCACATTTGGCTGCATCTAATTTCTGTTTAAGAATATCTTCTCTGTCCTAAATTCTCTCAGGGCAGCTTTTCAGTGATTTGATCCTGTGTTTAAATGGTGTTTAAGTGAACAGGGGCAGAAGTGAATATCTATATGAATGGAACACCACTGTACTACGTTCACAGCCATGTCCTAAAGCAGGCCAAACTATGTAAAAGAAGCAGCTCAGTGATAAGTAGCGCAGGCAGCATGCATTCACTAAGAAGATGCTTTGGAGAGACTTTTTTTTTGGTGGAGAAGCAGAATAGTGTATGCACCATTGGGTCCATTTAATCACACATTTTACATGGAGATTTCTCAGAATTAGTTCAGGTGAAGTGAAGATTTAAAAAACCGAAACAGTGCAGAGCAGGGGTGGGCAATATGGTAAAAACATAACATCATGATACTTCAAGGCATTATGCATAACAATATTTGCTTTTCCTGTTGGAACAGAAAAAAACAGTGCCACACTTAAAAATACAGTTATCAAAAACAATGAATACTGACTTTTATTTAATGTTTTACACATTGCACTGCACCTAACCAGGACTAATTACGCTCTCTTTGTATTGAAACATGCAGCTGGCCATTGTTATTTCATTACTGATGATATTCACATCATCCTCAGTAAACCATAGTGTGGCATAAAGTGATGTAACAGTTAACTTATCACGATAGCGATAAATACAGTCATATCGCTCACCTCTAGCGCAGAGCGGCTGATAATTGGTTAACATGACATGTGCTAATATTCACAAACTATTCTAGCTGCGTATAAATTATTAGCTCACGCAAGGTCAGTAAGTCTATAAGTGCTAGTTAGCTAAAGGTGGCTATGCTAACTATGTAGTTAAGTTAGTCGCACAGTTAGTTAGCTAGTTAGCTAGCTAACACTTTCATCCCCTATGTCGTTATTAAACACATACAAGGAAATTACAAAATGCATACATACCAGAGTCAGTTCATTAACCAGCGATATCGTACTGGTCTAAACTGTGATGTGTTTCAGGTCGGCTAATCCTGAGCTTCAGCAGCGCTCAGTGTTTACAGGGCGCTTCTCTCTTCTCGTCGTTAAGGTTCTCACTTCCTTAGCAACGGCTCTCTCACTCTGTGATGTCTGAGGAGCTGAGCAGCGGCCTGAGAGCTCTTCGGTGCCCCCTGGTGCTCAGTGCCCAACTGAATTAGAGAAAGTCAATAAAATGCATACGAACTTAATTTTTAAGTGATAAATCTGTTGTGTAATTAAAACAGTGTTTTTTTATATACAATATAAACCATCCATCACCAAATTGAAACAAATTGAAAGTTAAATAATATTTTATTAAATATATTTTTTTATTATTTTAAAAAATGTCAGCGTCTTGCAGCATCTTTCAACATTTAATCGTTTTTGTTACTTGGCTTATTCATGGTTTAACATTATTTTATTAAAATTACTTTTGTTTATCATTTCACATTAGCACATTTTTGTTGTTTTCATTTCTCACCTCTACATGATATTCAGAAAGTTCTGCGCGTTTACTCTCAGTGAATCCTCTTAGTGGCACTTACTCTTAACCTTTAATGGGGTTTAAGCTTTGCTGTATGTAGTTAATATGTTCTATGTGAGCACCCTGTGGCATTTGTGCTGACCGGGACTGTGTGCATGGCCAGGGACTTGGCTCAAGTTTTAGGTCAGTGGGGATGATTGACCTTTGAAGAGAAGGCTATGTAGCACCCCGCTACTGATTGGCGCTGGCCTCTATATGCTTGTGACGCTAAGCATGGCAGTGCCAGGAGGCTTATGGCACGTGTACGCCCTTCAGAAAAAGGACTTAAATATTGTGTATGTTGTTGTTTGTCGGTCAAAGGTATGTGGTATGTGTTTATTCTATTATTTTGTGTTTGGCTGTGGGTGTTTTGTGTTGGATGGTTGGTCACTGGAGTGGAAGTAGTTGGCTAGCGGTGACTTCCCCCATGGGTTTGCGTTCCTCTGTGTGCCTTTTTGCCCTGATGTTTAGTAAAGAGCGCTTCTCATGGTGGAACCACTTAATTAAGTACATCTGTTTCTACACTTACTGTCCATTTTACCAGGTCCATTACCATATTGTTGCGCTTTGTAGTTCTACAATTACAGATTGTAGTTCATCTGTTTCTCTACATAATTTGTTAGCCCTTTTACTCTGTTCTTTAGTGGTCAGGACCTCCACAGGACCACCACAGAGCAGGTATTATTTGGATGATGGATCATTCTCAGCACTGCAGTGACACTGATGTGTTGGTATTGTGTTAGTGTGGGTTGTGCTGGTACGAGTGGATCAGACACAGCAGAGTTTTTAAATGTCTCAGTGTCACTGCTGGACTAAGAATAGTCACCAGCCAAAAACATCTAGCCAACAGCATCCTGTGGGCCACATCCTGTGACCACTGAAGAGGGACTAGAGAATGACCGGCATAACTTTGTAAGAACAGATGAGCTACTGTCTCTGACTTTACATCTACAAGGTAGACTAACTAGGTGGGTGTGTCTCATAGTGTGGACAGTAAGTGGAGACAGTGTTTTAAAAGCCCCAAAAAACTAATTTTGTAAGTAAGCCTTGTTGAGTCAAATAATCATTTGCATGCCATTACTGGAAATGCTCAGTGTGTCAAATGCCAAAGTTTAGACTTCAAAGCAGTGCAAAAGTTTCTCTAGCTGCAGAACATTTCAGTGGGGGTGCTGTCCTTATTCAAAGCCAGCTATTTTTGAAAATATTAAGAGGCCTGTCAGATGCACCAATTTTGAATTGTACTGTAGTGGAATTAGTGGCAAAATTCATTAGTACAGAATGTTTAAAATGTAGAACTAAGTCTTAGACATTTTATCCTCACCTCAGCCACAGCATCCTTTTCTCCATGGCCTGTGTTCCACTCTGCTGCATGCCAGTTCTCCATAACCATGTTTTTCTAATAACAGAATGATACGCATGAAAACAAGAAGACAATGATAAATGTTTAATGTGATTCTTAAAGGCAGGATGGGGGAGCTGCTCATATGGGACATTTGTTCAAGCCCTTGGGATTTCTGCTGTACTGCAATGTGGCATGATGTCATACAGATCTTTATTGTTAGCAAATACCTATGTGGTACATATTCACCTGTGTAGAATGTGTGGTTTACTCATGGCCTGGGTGTCCATCGTTCAAAGAACCTTAAAAGAACAATAGTGGAATCTCACTTCTCTTCCTTATGTTAACATGGGTATAAATAAATGTATAAATAAATGGAGAAACTTGACAAATGTAAATGCTTCCAGACAGGTGTAAAGCATGATACAACCTGAAACTTGATTTTGGATCAAGATAGTAAGATAAAAAGATCTAAGAGACTTTGAAATATGGTTCATTATTGGGGCGCAGATAGCAGCAGCTTCAGTCACAAGGACTGCCTCAATGGCTAGTTTTTCAATAGGAACAGTGACTAAAGAGACACATGTACTTAGATAAATAGGAAAGACATCCGTAAATAGGGTTGGAAATTGTGGTCCAAAGTACACCATGATGCTCTTGCATTTGTGCAATATGTAAGAGAAAACAGAAGAGGAAGAGTTCCTCAGGTGACTGAGACTGTCAATACAGGGCATTATCATACTATGTCAGCAAGCAGAGGGGAAACTTTGGGGCCTTTGAGAGCCTTAAGAGAAGACCTATTGACTTCTGTGAAATAAAAAATACATGTCTGAAAATGTATGTATGTGTATAATCATGCTTGTTGCATTTAAACAAAACAAGTATTGCACTACTACTCTTATTTCATTTTTAAGTTTGGTTGAAAAAAAAAATTGCTGGCCTGGTTTGGGTCCACTTGTCCTCTTTGAGGGAAGAGTCACTGCAAATCAATACAATAATATAAGTTATTCTGAAAGATAACCTTTATCCTGTGATGAAACATTTCTATCCTGATAGAGGTCACCAAACTGTACTGGAATCCAGCCCCCAAGGATCAGAATAACTATGTAAATATGGATAAAATGGAGTTTTGATATGACAGCAGTACAACCTGTACAGTCTGATGGCCTGCTGAATATTGAAATGTTGTGCAAATAATTTTTGGTGGCAAAATATAAAGTATATCATAGCTTGGCTAGAACGTCCATCTTGAGGAATCAAACTCTTGCATGCAAACACACTTCTGTGTTTTATGTACAGCGCTGTGCAAAAGTTAGGAATCTGAGAACATGATGTGGCAGTATAGATTGTTTGTTAAATAAAAGCACTAACGTTAATGGAAATAAACAATTCATTGTGATTTTATGTCTGTCAGTGTGTTAGATTAACCTGAATAAGCCTAGTTCACCATCCAATACTTAGTTAGCCTAGTCAATCCTAGAGTAAATTAAATAACGTGTGTTGTCGATGGAATTTTAATAATCCATGCAATGACAGGAGTGCACCAAGAAGTCAGGAACCAAATTGTGTTCTTCTATTTGTATTAGTCTCTCATAGCTATTAATAATGCATAAAGAATGCTTATTATTTTTACTGTATTCATGTTTACTTGTATTTAATCAAATGTTGCTGGCAAAAACAGTTTTAAAATAGCTTTAAACAAAAACAAGGCTTTTGAGAGTGCTGTAAGATTGTAATATTCACTGTTTCACTGACTATGGAGCTGGGGCCATGGAAGAACAGTAGATGTGTTGGTCTGACCAAAATAATGTTACAGTTTCCTTTTTTCCGTTTTTTAGCATTTGAAGTTTGCTTCTTTGGACAAATTTATCATTTTGTATGTGAAGTACATCAAATATAATTTACTCCTGATACTTTATTTTGGCATTAGATACAGCTTTCATTCTGACATAAAAGCAAAATAACTTGTACTTAATCAGGAGGTTGTGGTCCAAACACCCTACAGATGATATATATGTGTTTTCAACACCCCACAATCACAAAAATAACTCTGCTCGAGTGAGCCTTATTGTGCATATTCTCTTGTGAAATCATCTACTGGGATACATGTATACATTTTCATAAGGCACAACTTCAGATCTGCACAAAATGAGCACAACATGCAACCCACTCTTGTCTTTTCATGAACATTTCCTTAAAGTCTATAGAGGTTCAAGCTTCTTTGCACTACAGAACAGAACATATTGTCTGAACAGGGGCCTAAAGGTCTCATCCCTTAGGCCGTAGATGAGGGAGCTGAGGCAGCGTGGCAGGATGAGGACCATAAAGAAGTTGAGGAAGCGTAGCTGCGTGTAGACAGGCAGCGGGAGGCTGCCCAGCAGGAACTCCAGCTGCACATAAAGGAAAGACATGAGTGACAGGCCTAGCTGCAGCGCATGTAGCAGCACAGTGCGCAGGGCTTTCTGCGCCGATGAGTGGTCAGTCGAGGCAGCCCGTGCCTGCTTCAGGATGGCCACGTAGGTGTAGAGTAGCACAGCCATCACCGCCACAAAGAGGAGGGTGTTGAGGGCCACCCCTTTGCCCCGCTGCCAGGGAGCCACCAGCAGCTGCTCGATAGTGCAGACTGTATGTGACAAGTAGAATGACGGCTCTGCGAGGAGGAAGAGAGCAAACACATCGGTTAGCACATTGAAGACGCCAAGCGCCCAGACCACCACCACAGCCACTCGAGTGCGCATGGGCGTGGCCAGCTCGCTGTGCCGCAAAGGGAAGCAGATGGCCGTGTACCTCTCCAGAGACATGACTGCCAGGTTGAGAGGCGCGTTGATGAAGGTGGAAGCAGACATCAGTACGATAAAGGCGCAGATGGCCCGCACTATCACCAAGTAGAATGCCCCGAGCACATAAAGGACCAGGCCGACTACCAGGTGAATGGTGTCATTGAGGAGCATGTGGGCAAAGAGGATGTACCGGGACGTCTCCCGGAAAGTGGCCTTGGTCCTGAGTGTGAACAGCATCACTATGTTGATGTAGATGAAGACAGCATGGGTGGACAGCACCAGGAACATCTTAAAGATTCTCTCCTCTGTGATAGCCAGTCTGATGGCTTGCATCTCAACAACAGTCAAAGGTCCAGACGTGTTAGCCATGTCAACGATTAGAAGTTTTGTAGAAAGAGTGCAAAAGAGAGAAAATGATAACAGAACCAGAATATAAAAGACAAAATCACCAACTTTTTCAGGACCCCTAGTGCTCTAGACACCAGTGTCTACACTTTAAGAGAATGTCTTTCATTGATTAAACTAGTTACAGTTACAGTTATAGGCTAGAGTTACAGCTGCAGCATGATTCAGTGCGGCAGTTACTGAACAAACTTTTACAGCAGTATTCAGATGATCAACAGATAATTTTTGATGCCGGAAATACATGTTCAATCAGAGCAACAACAAGAGGTTAAAAGGAGGTGAGATCTGAAACATTCCTATACATTTACAGGAATATGCAAAATTTCAGTTAAATTTTCCATCTTAAGGAGTTATTATTATTTAGTAAATATATATATAAAAATAATGCAAACTGTTTATTCTTAAGTTCTTAAGTCTGGAACTGCCAGTGGTTCCGTGGAGTTAATGAGGTTAAAAAAAAATAAGCATGATGGCAGCATCTAGGGATCATTTTTTAAAAAGAAAGGTAAATTACAATGCACAATAAATCCTTTTTCTGTCAGCATAAGGCATTACAGTCCAATAAAGCAGTCAAAACAAAACAGTCAGTGTAAAGCATTCTCCTATAACCACATCAACAACACATCAGATTGTACAACATATTTAACATTGATTAAAACACAAACAAAGAGAAAAACTGATGCATATCAAGAGATCCAGTCTGCATTTAGGTGCTAAGTTGTATAGCCATCACTACCCTGCAGTATTTGGAAATGCAGAAGTCATATACAGTATAGTGTGCTTTACTGAGCTTCAGACCTGTGAGCCTCAAGCCCAGATCAGTCTCTGGGTGATAAAAGCCTCTTTTTTATGTCATTTCTGTCTCTGACATCATGGAGTCTAGAGAGTTTTAACTACCACAGGTGTCAATCAACACTGTTCCCTGACTCACTGCTGTAGAATAACATTAATGAGGAACTATTGTGAAGTCTGATAAGTTGAGGATTTAAATGTGTTGTTTTTGTTTAAGTTTCAGTGTTTCGAATGTCTGCTTGAATATTTATTCTAAGACACATTATCAAATGTTTTTTTTTCATCTGCAAATTTGCTGTGTTTTTAGTTGTTTTTCATTCTTTTTTTATTATTTGAGAGAGTATTTGATTACTCCTGACAGGAATACAAAATTGAAGGTTCTAGTGAAAATGATGCAGGGTGCTATAAGAGTTAAGATGTGCTAATTACATAGTGATAATTAACTAATTGGCTTAATTAACATATTCCCCAGTGCAGACCCCTAGGACAGCAGTGGCAGATCTGGGGGAGTAGAGATGCACTGATATGGGAACTGTGGGCCAAAGCCAATGTTCAGTATTTTTCATGTACATTTCTGCTAATGCTGATACATAAACATTTATAAAATGTAATAATTGGGACTAGATCCATCTTGATTACTATTACAAAGTAATATAATATTTCATTTCTATAGGGTTACAAATGCAGAGTACAATAACTATGATATCAGATATTGACAATAAAAGATTGTTTTTGTTTTTTAGCAAATATCTGCCGATACTGAAATGATGCCGACGTCACAATGAATGTGTGCAACAAGTAGACCAACAGAAGGAGACTGTTTTATTGCTTTAAGATTTGTTGAGACAAAACATCAGTGCATTTGAATCATTTTCATGCTTCTTTTCATGCTTCCTCTTTTGATGCATGAATGCATTTGCAAATAGGCACAAATGTCCAACTATATAAATATAGACATTTCTGATATGGCTGAGTAAATATTGTGTCTGATTGAGGTACACAGAAAGTGTTTTTGATGACTGATTCATATGAGCACAGTAAGATGAGCATGTATTACATGGTGTATGATGAAATACAGGAGGGAATATACCTTCAGTCTGTTTCATTACCTTTTTCCTCTGTGATTTAACAGAGCAGCTGTCTTTCATGACCCAGAATCTCCAGGGTGAAGTTAAAAAAGCCTCCAGGACCAATCTCATTAATTATTTAGCTTTTCTTGTTTGCTGTCTGATTTGCTTTTGTCATTGTTTTGGAACAAGTGCTCTGCTTAAAATAAGACCACATGTCAATCACATCATAGTTTGTAAAGTTTGGAGCTGCCGAAAGTAAAGACTTAAACATAGTTTCTGTACTTGAGCAGTGGCATGGCATGGTTTTGCCAAGAGAGAGGCTGGTCATCAATCTCACACTGTGGTCCAGTCTCATATAGCACCCCTGCTGCTTTTTTGCCTGTGGTCATCCACAACCTAGCTGATGAAATGAATGTTCCCCATTTCGTAAATGTAACTGTTTTCTTAACTGTTCCATTCTAATTATGCACACAAAAACTACTTGAGTGGTAATAGCTCTCCCCTCAGTCTGTTGAACTGGAGTGTGAGTTTAATTAATAAATCAATCAACCTTTGTTTTGACTTGGAAATATATTGAGAGTGAGCCTCATTTACAGTGTAGCCGAGCAAGTTAAACAGGGGTTGAAAAAAGTTTAAATAAAATGTATTAACTAAAACAAATTAAAATCAGCAAGATAAGATTTATAAAGAATATCGCTGTTGCCGGAAGAAAACCTCGTATCTCCAAAATGGTAACTTTACAGGAAAAGGAAAGAACCTACTTTTTACTTTTAATGTAAGTCAGTGGAACCAGACTTTTTTTTTTCAAGTCATTTTGGGCTGTTTCTTGGTCCATTCTTCATGAAATTTACAGATGTATATATTATGAAAACAAATTAAAAGTAACCAACTGCCACACATCCCTCCCATCCCTCTTTGGGAGATCACATGACACACAAACCTCCACAATCAGCCAATCACCATTCCTGTTCATCTGAGTACTAACCTGTCTCACCTGTTATGTGTATCATAGGACTAGATCTAGCTTAGTATTTAAGCCCGTGCTTTAGTATAAGTTCTTTGCAAGGAATTGCTTCTCTCTGCAGAGCTACTGAGCGTTTCTGTTTGTGATATTGCCTTTTTGTTTTCCTGAACATAATTTTGGACTTCCTGACTTTGCCTTTTTGTCTTTGTCCTTTTGGATCTGGTTGCCTGATATCTTTTTGTTATGTTTGTCATTCTCTGTATTTTGGCTTTTTTGGGTTTGACCAATGCCTGTTTACAGACTACAAGTATTGTAAAATCCTTTCCAAGTAAAGCCTCATTTCCCCTTTTTACCGCGAGCGTCTGGCTGGTTCTGTTTTGTTACACCAGATAAGATAATAAGGAATAAGAAAAAAATCTTAGAAACAAAATTATTTAATAATATAATAAAACAGTTGCAATAAAATGGTGAAACAAAATAAAATAAAATAGAGCAGAAAGGAACTAACATCAAATAAAACAGCTGCAGGCAGAGTGGAGGTGGTTAGAGATTTAAAGTCAAGTGACACCAGTGAGCAGAGTTTCCTGTAGTGTATTCAAGCTCGCTTGTGCAATGTAGCTAAAAGCAGATTTTCCCAATTTAGTAAAAACTCTCGGAATCTGACAAGTAATCCTGTCATTAGAGCGGATCTGATAAACACCATTATTTACAGAGCATATAATTGACAAAAGATGACATGTGGCCAGAGAGTGTCCTATAATTAAAAGCAAACCAATATAGATTTGATATGAGCTGACATGTGGCCGGAGAGCACCCTATAAATAAAAAACAAACCAATGAGTTTCCCGCCACATGGCTAGAGAGGACCAACCAACTTTTTCATAGAGTGTGCAGAGATGAGTTCTGTACGGATCTCCAGTGATGAATCTCAGAGCTGAGCGACAGACTGAACTTGGTGGTTTAAGGCTACTGGTAGAAGCATGTCTATAGATTACATCACCGTAGTCTAGGATAAATTATAAGGTTGTCTACATGATCCTCTTCCTAGTATGCAATGGGAAACACATCTGGTATGAATATCCAAGCTTTTGTCTACATTTACTGACTAGCTTATTAATGTGATATTTTAACATAAATTTATCATCCAGCCAAATGCTGAGCTATTTAAATTCTGTGACTCTCTCAACACTGGATCCAGTCAGGGTTTTGATATTCACAGTGTTGAAATCAGTACTGTGGGCTCAGGAATACAGCATGAATTTTGTTTTCTTTGCATTTAAGACTAGCTTATGCTTGTACAGTGCTGTAAGACATTGAAGGAGCTGTAGTTGTTCTACTGCTTCACGAACAGAGTCAGCTGAACAATACAGAATTGTGTAATCTGCATACAAGTGAACTTTGCAGTCAGAGGCAGAAGCAGCAAGATCATTAATAAATAAATTTAATAAGACTGAACCAAGGATTGAACCTTGTGGGACCCCTTTAGTAACAGGCATTAAATTTGATATGTAGTAACCTAGTGCCACACGTCTGTTGCCTGTCAGAGAGGTAGTTTGGGGCCTAATTTATTGCATTTTTATCAAAACCAATTGATTGTAAGCTATTTAGTAAATAAAGTGAATGATCAACTGTGTCAAAAGCTTTGGTCAGATCAATAAAAAGGGCAGCACAGTGCTTCTTTGTGTCTATGGCTGTGATAGGATCATTTAAGGCAAGTGTGGTTATAGAGATGTGGCTATATGTCAGATCAATGAATAAGATAGAATTTCATAAAGTAAGCTGGGTGTGTACTAAAGATTAAAAAAAATTAGCTTGATCAAATACCTCGCCTCCTTTGCATAGGGGAACTGTAATATGAGCTGTTTTCCAGACATAGGAGTTCTGCAAGATAAGGTGGAAAGATTAAAAATGCATGTACTATGTTCTACAATTACTAGAGTAGCAAGATGCAAAAAATGGAGGTCCAGTCCATCCTCCCCTGTGGCTTTTCTGAGGGTTAACAGCAGTGAGAGTGTTAGCCACTACATAGAAAGAAGGAACGAAGAGTGAAGAAACCATGGCCATGGCTAGCGATAAAGCTGGTATCTGGTTCATTCAGCTGCAGTCTCAGGTAAACAGCACAAGACCAACTAAACCCCTTCATAACAAGCCTGTACAGAAACACAATCAGCGCAGCAATACAAAAATACCACTAACTATATGAAGTCTTCAAAACAAGATAATGGAAGTCTAGCAAAATGACATGCTAGATATACCTTTAACCACAGAACTGAAAGAAAGATCATAACAACCAGAATTATTAAAATACATACAGCAGTAATAAACTTAGTAAACTGCTAATGGGAAAATACTGTAGCGTTTACTGCTATTAAAAAAAACAACACATTTTTCACAAAAGTCATGGTGCTTTATTCTCCAGCCTAAAAATTAACATGCAAAAGCATTTCATAAACACACTACAATACTATAGCATACAATTATAAAAGCCCTTTGGGGGTACTCACCAAAAACTATTTAAAACTATAAAAATATAATATAAACTATAATGGGCAGCACGGCGGCGCAGTATGTAGCGCTGTCGCCTCACAGCAAAAATGGCCTGGGTTCGATTCCCGGCCGGGCAACCAGAGTCATTTCTGTGTGGAGTTTGCCTGTTCTCCCCGTGTCTGCGTGGGTTTCCTCCGGGTACTCTGGTTTCCTCCCACAGTCCAAAGACATGCAGTCAGGCCAATTGGACATGCTAAATTGCCCCTAGGAGTGAGTGAATGTGTGTGTCTGTATATCTGCCCTGCGATGGACTGGCGACCTGTCCAGGGTGTATCCTGCCTTCTGCCCAATGACAGCTGGGATAGGCTCCAGCACCCCACCGCGACCCAGAAGGATAAGCGGTTTAGATGATGGATGGATGGATAAACTATAATTTTTTATCCTTTAAACATGAATGTCTGCTTAACATTTTTTAAAATAAGTTCTCAAACTTCAACTGTATTAGCATGTTGTGTTGTGTTATGTTAGCCATGTTTATTAAACATGTGCCTGAAGCTTTTGATAGAAAAAAATTTGACTAATCGTTTTAAAGCAATGTGTTAATTTTGCCTAGAAAAGAACATATGATTGGTCAGTGGCGTTTTCTCCAGCGCTCTCAGTCAGTGTTTATTTGGGGGAGGGGGGGCTGCTGATTGACTGAAGAATATGGAGAGATCCTCAGAGCACTGTGACCAGTTAGCACAGAGACAATAATAGTGACAGCTTCCAGAGAGCTTTAAAGACATATATCAAACAAAAACATAAACATAAAAAGAGTACTTAGTAGAAAAAGGGTAAAAGGAACATTTGTTGTGGTTGTTGCTTTGTTGTTGTTGTGTTGTTGGTTATTAGTTGTGTTAATTACAGTAAGTGTGTCAGAGGATAGTTGGCTTTGTAATGTAACTAGTGGTTAGAAGTGTTCACCATCCTCAGATGTCATGTACCCCCTCCCTATGTTTTGTGTTCAGGAGCTGCCTATTGAAATGCCTGCTCAAAATACAAGAGCATTTGCCAATATGCGCAACGTTGTTCTTCTTAGCTGACACTACACTGGTGTCGGAGAACCACTTTGCAAGCTTCTCATGGCAGCAAGGCCTTTGGTGGAAGCCACAGTGTAATAGCTTATAAAATACACTACATGGACAAAAGTATTGGGACACTAATAATAACTCTAATAATAATTGAGTTCAGGTGTTTCAGCCACACCCTTTGCTAAAAGGTGAACAAAATTAAGCTTATAGCCTTGCAGTCTTGATAAACAAACTCTGGCAGTATGAATGAGCTTAGTGACTTTAAACATGGCACTATCATAGGATGCCACCTCTGCCACAAGTCAGTCTGTGAAATTTCTGCCCTGCTAGATCTGCCCCTGTCAACTGTAAGTGCTATTTTTGTGAAATGGAAGCACCTGGGAGCAACAACAGCTCAGTGACGAAGCGGTAGGCCATGCAAACTCTCAAAGTAGCGCTGCCGAGTGCTGAAGTGCACAGTGCCTATCCTCTGTTGAATCACTCACTAAAGAGTTTCAAATTGCCTCTGGAAGCAACATCAGCAAAAGAACTGTGTGTTAGTAGCCTCATGAAATGGGTTTCCATGGCCGAGCAGCTACACACAAACCTAAGATCAGAATGGACAGTGCCAAGCATCGGATGGAGTGGTGTAAAGCACGCTGTCACTGGACTCTAAAGCAGTGGAAATATATTCTGTGGAGTAACAATGGAGGAGTCTGGGTTTGGTGAATGCCCAGAGAATGTTACCTGCCTGACTGCACTGTGAAAACTGTAAAGTTTGGAGTTGAGGAGGGAAAATGCAGTAGGTTATTTTTCAGGGGTTGGCCTAGGGCCCTTATTTCCAGTGAAGGGAAATCTTAATGCTTCAGCAGACCAAGATATTTTGGAAAACTGTATGTTTCCAACTTTGAGGGAACAGTTTGGAGAAGGCCCTTTTCTGTTCCAGCATGACTGAGCCCCAGTGCACAAAGCAAGGTGGGTGAGTTTTGTGTGGAAGAACTTGACTGGCCTGCACAGAGCTCTGACCTCAACCCCATCGAACACCTTTGGGATGAACTAGAACAGAGATTGTGAGCCAGGCCCTCCCATCCAACATCAGTGTCTGACCTCATAAATGCTCTTCCAGATGAATGAGCAAAAATTCCCACAGACACGCTCCAAAATTTTGTAGAACCCCTTGCTAGAAGAGTTGGAGCTGTTACAGCTGCAAAAGAGGGACCAACTCCATATCATTGCCTAATTTAGAATGGGATGTCATAAAAGCTCCTGTAGGTGTAATGTGTGGGTGTCTCAATACTTTTGTCCAGAAGGCTTAAAAAATCTGGGGAATTCTCCTTTAAGATAAGAGATAATAAGAGACTATTATTACAATTAGCCTATTATTATTAGCATATCGTCACATAAAAGCGTCAGTATTTGATATAGAGGTTATTTGATATTCTCCTGAACGCTTTATGTAAAACTAAGCCTTTATGAGACAGTGGTGACTCAAACCACACCAGTACGAAACACAAATCAGCATGGTATTAAATGTCATTCTGTTCTATTCCGTGTACACGAGTACATGAGAGGCAACAAATGACAAAGCACTTGTAGGTTAGAAATGAAAATGAAAATTGAGCTCGTTAAAGAATGTTGCGCCCATCAGATATTTGTTAAGCAAATATTCAAGCAGCGGTTGCGCTTCTACACCGCAGGGGGCGCACTCCCCGGCTCGGTTGACTGTTTTGTCCAGGCAGTATGGCGCTATTCAGGAGAAAGACATTTGCTCTTGGATGGTATGTGTTTGTGATCCATTTATTTAAGTGAGAGATCTGTGTGTGCTGTAAAATTATATGATAAAAACGTATATAATGCTGTGTCGACGTCAGAACTATGTCATACGTAGATACGTGTACGGCAGTTTGCCTTTAAATCTAATCGTTCATTTGACTTGACGTTACTTCCTGTTTATGTTAGTATTGTTTTAATACAGGTCTCAGATGAAGCTCCTGAGTTTTATTTTGTAACAGCAGTATCTGTCAGCAGTGATTTATGAACGAATTTAGAAGCGTTTCTCTGTGCTTTTTGGCTCAGTGTGCCTTATTGATTACACACACCACAGTATATATGAATATGAATTGTTTTGTTTGACTAACCAGAGCGTGAACTGACAATCAAACATTATTCTTTATCCTTTAACTACAGCTTCGCAGCAAGCTTGCTGAGCACCACCAGCAGAACACGCCACACACTTGGCTGGCTGCCTTCATTAATCAAGAGAAACTGGATTTCTCTAAGTGTCTCAGGTGGCCTGTGTGCTGTTCCCTTTGTGCAGGTTTGAAAGGTTTTCATGATTGCAGTGTTAATAGAAATCTTTCAGAATCATGAAGGACAGCACAAAATGCTGGTTCCTGGTGCTACTAGTTGTTAAAAATACTGTACACTCTCAGAAAAACGGTATGAAACTGTCACTGAGGTGGTACCCTCAAGGGTACATCTATATACCTTTAGTCAGGGAACATAATTGTACCATAATCCATTGAAATTACATTTTGTAAGTTGTACTGACTCCACACAACCCATCTCGTATCCAGGCTTTTTATTTAATTGTTCTGTTTTAAAACATTAGTTTATAAAAAATATACAATAATACACATTTTTCCACTGGGGGGAAAAAAAAACTTATTTAATGTACACAGTTGGACCTTAAAACCACTGTTGTACCTTTGAGGGAACATTTACATTATTTGTACTTTGATGAATGAGAAATGTACCTGCACAGGACCTTTATTTCTAACTGTGTATAATAATGTGTTGATGAAAATACTGATACTACAGGGCGAAACACTTTTGATACAGTATTGAAAAGTCTAAAAAATTAACATTCAACATAGTGTATTGAATTTTCATACTATACAGCAGATATGCCCCTCAGTCTTTCAATGGGCTCTCATAAGTCCTTCTTTGGAGAAAGCACTGGGAGTGATTAAAAACTGGGCGTCTGGGTGCATCCCGTCTATTTCTGCATCATTTATAGCTCAGTTGTACTGTTTTATCATATCTGTGTTTTTCACAGGGACTTGCTATTTTGCAGTCTTTTGAAATTAATGTTTATCTGAGCCAAACCTGTGAGCCAGTCTGTGTAGTGCTACACTGTGTAGTGTAGTGCTTAATTAGAGTAGAAGTTTTTTAACACTTAAAATACAAGAAATAGTATCAAATCGTTAGAACAAAATCAAAATTCTGTTCACTTTCTAACTGAAATTGTTGTTGTCAAGAAAATAGACCTTGATATAGGACAGTCCATCTAAGCATTCTCTTTTCAATCAATATTGTGTTACTGTACAGGACACTGCATCACATGAGGCCTTGATCCGCAGAGCATCGTCTCTGGTGACTGACAGTGCCAACACTTACCTCTCTCAGACCACTCTGGCACTAGTGGACTCCCTCAATGAGTATATCAATGTAAGTACTTCTGTGCCAACACACAATCTCATTAAGCTTTTAGAGGATTTAAATTAGGTGTTCCATACACATCACTTTCAGTATTTGTCAGAATGAGGTTACCTCAGTTATTAATCTGTAGCAAAAAGACATTGGCATGAACAGAGACAATTTTTGTGTTTTGTGTGTACTTTCACTCTCCAGGCAATACATACCCTGATAACTCTTCACAGAAGTTATGTTGCCAATATCAACAAGTTGAACCCTACACAGGAGAACACAATATGGCAGATGATAGTCTACAAGCGCCAGGAGGTAAAAACACTCAAAATAGTCAGCAAAGGTCAAGAACAATGTCAGTTAGTATTTTAAGTCACAAGCCATCCTCAAAACATTTGTCTTGTGTTTTCTTTGTCCCTTAATGAGTTATCAGATGTGCATGTATTCCAGCTACACCTGATTTATTATTTTAACCTGAATTAAAGTTTTGGATTTGATTAGATCATTGACCGAAGGAAGGACTGGAAGAAATTTGAAACAAGCTGGTTGACTGCAATTGACCTCTCAGAGCTTGCTGCTGAAGCTGCTTTTAATGCAGGCAAGACATTTTACAGTTACTAACACAATGAACACACTGAATTGCAATTATGTGCACATTAGCTGTACGATAACCATCTGATTTTGGTAGGTAGCAGATTATTCATGTGGCCATGCAAACAACATACCACGATGACATTATAAAGTTGAGATCAATGGAAGACATATGGATTTTACCCAAATAATAAGGTTATTCAGTGCATGTATACGCAGGGACGTTGGAAGGTGTTTTAAATTGGAGCGCTGCTGAATTTTTTTGTGAAGCATGTACATGACAAAGACTGAAGTTGTGCTTGTTTTTTTTCCTTTTTCAATTAAATTGTTTGGAGTAGGATGACAAAATACAGCTGTACTCAGATAACCAACACTGTAACCGCAATTAATGCACATCCTGCTGACTCTTCTCTCTTTTTTCCTGGATGAACTTTATGCACATAAGCAGTGTGAGAAATGCTTCTTTCAAACCCATGGTCAAGCTACAAATGCATGTCTAGTGGGAGATTATTACATTAGTTAAGCTTTTAAACAATATTAGGTCTCTTCAGGGCACAGAAATAGCCCACAGCTCCTGCTTGTGTTTTAGCAACGTGCTCAAGTCATAGTCCCAGAGCGGCCAACAGTTGGCAGGGAAACGATTTGCTTCATTTAAAACTTTAACAGCGCATGGCTACTGCAGATTTGGAACATAAATAAATGAAACGAAACAAAAATGCATACTCTACCCTACAAAAGCACAGAAAAGGCACATAGTTGGCTATGCTTTGTTGTTTTCCATTATTTAACAATCCTGAAATCTGGGGGTGCTACAGCATTCATATATTTTTCTAATATTTGATTTTGTACAAAACCTACACAATCACATCAGTCTTCTTTGGTGGGTTTATTGGTGGTTTTCAAAGCAACTGGAGCAGGGCATACTTTATACATTGTAAAGAAAGCAGGTATTGACAGATTGGTGTAGAACTAGAGTTTTCCTAGTATCATATTTCTTTGGTGAAAGTAAATGGGTTAAATGAAGTATTGCCAAAAGATTTTTTTCTTTTTTCTTTTTTGCAATTTTCAGCATTTATTTATATTTATTATATTTTGTGACAATGTATGTGGCAGTGCTGGAAACAGTAATAGTACACGGATACAGTGAGTTGCAGGGAGTGTGGTGAGAAAATATTTGCTTTATTATCAAGCACATTTTAGATTCTCCATGTGATCTTAATTTTGCTATGTCTTTGCTTTAGGAGCAGACCAATCTTCAGCCGCAGCCCAGACTAACCTACAGATGGCACAGTCTCAAGTAGAGCAGGTTCGACAGCGATCACATGAGGCAGAGAAACAGCTGAAAAACAGCAAGGCAGAAGACAGTGAAAGGCTTCAGAGATCTCTCACCTCAGCAACACAAGAAGAGGAGGAAATTCCAGAAGCCTATCTGAGAGAGGACTAATCAAGAGTTGCAGACTTCCAAAGACATACAGAGCTCCGCACAGAATCTCCACCATTCCAATGTTAAGAACCACACACAGTGAACAATTTTTGCACAATATTTTTGTAGTAGTTTACCAGTGAGACAAAGTTCAGCAGTTATACTGTTGTCAGACAGCACTACAACAATTGACAGCACAGTGCAGATTGAAATTCAAAGGAAAGGAAGAAAAAGCATTCAGAAAATACTTGTTTAATCCCTTTTATTATTGAGATCCCGCATGGAACACTAAGTATCAGTTAATTGAAACCTTTACAGCTTGTACCTGTGCCTGAATTAGGTAGTTTCTGGCTGCTGTGGACAAGTCATTTGAAATGCACATGACTATATTTTTTTTGGAATGCTGTTGATGCTGTAGGGTGGTGGTCACCAACCCTGGACCTGGAGATCTACTTTTATCTCTGCAGAGTTTAGTTCCAACCTGCGACTAGCATGATTCCCCTCCCCTTTACCTGGTCCCAGTGTATATGATCCAGCCAAACATGGATTTCTCAAGAAGTGAATTAGCTGGAGCGTGTGTTGCAGACTGTGGCTGGAACTAGACTCCACAGGAAATTAGATCTCCATGATCAGGGTTGCTGACCACTGCTGTAGGCGTACAACTGTGCCTGGCCTAGTTCTAACACATGGTTCCAATATTGAGATGCTACTGAAGGCCTTGTTTAACTAGATCAGGGCCTGTAGAGTTAGAGTGCTGATCTAGGATCTTTTCCTTTCAGGAAATCATTGTAAATAAGGAATTTGGTTCTAGATCAGCACTTACACTGTGAGAAGGTTTATAAATATGGGTCCAGATGTGTTTGATTAAAAACTAAACTGGGTGGTAGATATTCAGGAGCGGAGTTGGACAGTCCAGTTGTAGAAGAATGTTTTCACTTGTTGCAGTACCACATTTATTCATGAACATATTAACATACCTTGTTTAAATTCCATGTAATTTTCTTTTCAAAAATGTACTCTGAGGAGGTTCTTCTAGCAAGCTGTTGTCCTAATATGCACGAATCACATGCTCACTATGGATGTGTGGATGATTAATGGGAGACGTCATAGAATCTCTGACTAATACTTTCAGTCGGACATTGGGTTTATAAAGGGGGTATTTAAGAAAATCTTTGTTAAACCTGAAACAAAGTGTTCTGCCTTTGTAATTATTACAATATAGAATTTTTTTAAATTATTCTTTGTGATGTTTTAGTCTTTCGATTTTACATTTTACAAAAGTAATGTGGTATTTTAAGCACTGTTTGCTGTTCTGTGTGGGGCTATTTTATTGTTTCAAGTTTAAATTATACTCTTTTTTTTTTTGCGTCCAATAAAGTTTAAGACCTTAGTCAGCCAGTGAGCAAGAAGGGGTCATTCTATTGTTGCTGGGGCAAATGGCATAGTACAACTTTGAAGGCATGATTAAAGCCATTATTAATTTGAAACTATTAATCCTAAATTAACCAACAACAAAAAAAACTATTATAATTCTTTACATTCTTATTTAAATGATTTTTAATTATGAAAAATAATGTCACAGTGATCTCACAGATGCTGCAGTATTATTTTTATCTGAAATAACAATTCTTATGCTTGTTTTTCAATTTAAATTGTAGAAATTGTACTAAAATTGTCTTGTGTTTTTTAAGAATAAATGTAATGTTATTTTGATGGCTTAATTTGATAGATTTTTTGTCAGTGGTATTACAGGAAGGTCTATGTCAATTATTAATGGACGTCAAAGGAAGGAAGACTAACTATATGAAGTCCATGGTGAATGGTGAGATTTCCTGTTTCTGATTTTAAAATAAAAAAAAAAACATGAATGTAATGTCATTTTTGTACATACAGTGTGACATAAAATCTAAAGTCAGACTGTTTGTATTTTACAAAAGTTCAGATCTGAGTCATTTTGTCAGTGTTATAGTCAGTGGTGTTACAACTTTGCCAGTGTTCAATATAAGACTACATTTTACATTTAAATTATATTAACATTCATACCCTTTTTGCCACTGCCATGATAGAATAACCAAAAGGCATTTTAGACATCCAGTGGCCAATTTACGGACCTAGTGGTAAACTGTGGACACTGACCCTCTTTGGGTTGACTTTACTACTTAAAAACAGTAATTCCTAGACTTAGTTTTATCTTTTAATGGTGTGTTGTACATTATCATCACCAGGTTACACAGCTGATTCATCTCATAAAAGAGCTTATTAGCTGATGAGTTGAAGTGTGTTCTAGAACATAAATCACTGCAGTGCAGCTCGGCCCTTAACTGGAATTGTGAACAGTTATGTTTAATGTATTTCTATACAGCACCATCTGCTGGACTGATTGTTTACATAATGAATTCACAATCTAAACAGCATCATATGTTACTCTAGGTGCATATCCTAACTGTGTACTGTGTGGCTGCAGTGGGACTAATTTTAAACTACTATCCTCATTAATTTCACATTTCCTTGTTACATATAACTTCACGTATCTGGTTATTCATCAAGAGACTCCTGCCTAACCGCAAGCTTTTCAAGACAAACAGTAAATTCCTTTCAGTTTTGTTCATTGTCTACTTGTTTTTATCAAGGTGCTCAAACTCATCTGTCCACGTTCCTCTGTTTCTGTTTTTTTTTCTTCTTCTTCTTTTTGACTAATCACATTCCTTAGAGTATTTCACCCACATCACTTCACAAACCTTATTTCTTTATACTGACAGAAGAAAAATCTGTGATACTGCTCATATATCAAATAATATTAATACCAGAATAAACAACTCCATTAAAAACACTGCAGTATTTTTACAATTGCTAAGACTCAAAACTCTTTATACACCCCTCAGCAGAGATATGCACAGCAGTTCATTTTATGTCCATAATGCTCTACAGCTGTAAAAACAATGCAGAAACATCTCAGAATAAAAAAAAAATCATCAAAACATGAACTCCAGTGTTTTTGTAATAGGAATACTTATAAGAAACTATGAGAACTGTTGCCTTTAAGGTAGATCCACTATTTTATGCATCTATGAAGTAGTAAAGAGCTATTTGCGCTGCAGTTATGTTTTGTATTGTAATTAGTTTATTATTCTTGGGCTGATGATGTAAAGCACACTCTAAAAAGTGATTCTGAAGTTGCTTTGAAGTTTTAAACTGATTAAAAATGTTCATTTTGTTCATCTAAACTAAAAATTTGCTTTGCATTGTTTCACTGAAAGTATCTATTTGGGTTGAATAAAAGCAGTTAAATTGTTTTTTACCACATTAAATAACAATTTTTACAGTGAATAAAAAAACCTAATCACATCAGAAGAACATTACAAATCGGAATGGTATATCTTTATTGTATAGGAACAAAAATAGAAACTAAAAAATCCAGTACTTTACATTGTCTAGCAAAGAAGAAAGTTGCCAGGTCTGCATTATTTGGCTGCATTCTCATCCACATCACAACTAATGAGCTCTCTCTTGTATATAAATGTACAAATAAGCATTTGAGCTATTAATGCACTTATTGTTAACAAAATAACAAGAGAACTCTTTTAAATTGAAGTTGAAAAACAAACAAGAGCAGTAAACAGAGTAATGTGTCACTGTTCTTGTGTGACTTTAAAATGAACTTGAGCATGTAGCTGCTAAAAGATGTGCTCACACCCCATTGGTATTCTATTGTTCTGAGTCTGGATGGGTTTGCGTGAAGGACATATGGGGTGATGAAAAGTGTTAACTCAGAGAGCATATGTAGTGGTAAAGAAAGTGATGATATTAGGTGGCTACATCTGAAGCTGTCTGCCTTTTTCTAGACTGGAGTGTCCTTTGAGTGAAAGTAAAGGTCATTAGTTGTTTGCATTCTGTTTTTTTCTGGCCTGCATGTTCCACTGGAGGTGTTGAAATGTCATTAGTCATGAAGTTATTGAACTGTCTGGGCTTCAGAACTGAATGAAACTTATATTGTCTATCCTTATATACCAAATATTCAAAGGTATTTAGATTCCCCTTCTAATCAGTAAATTCAGCTGTTTAAGTTACACCCACTGCAGTGCACAAATAGCTTGTATAATCTCTAAAGAAAAGCATTGCCAATAGAATCTGATGCTCTGGAGCAGCTGCACATGAGCCTAAGTTCACCTTGCCAATGCAAGAGTTGGTTAAAGGCATATAAAGCCCACCAGCGCTGAGTTGTAGTGCAGTGGAACTGCATTCTCTGGAGTGATGTCTGTGTTCCAGACCTAATCATCCAACATTAGAACCTGACTTCACTAAAGTCCCTGTGGCTGAAAGCAATCAAATCCTCACAGCAATATATAGTGTAAAGCCTTCCCCAAGGAGTAGAGGCTGTTACTTCAGCAAAGAGGAGGCAATTAACATCCTTGATTTCAGAAGAAACATTGGATGAGCAGGTGTCTACAAATGTTTGAACATTTAAGGTTGGTTTCACTAAAAGTTGGATGATTCGACATGCTGTGTAGTCCAAAACTAAGCCTAATCCCTGTCTGGGAAACCAGCCACACTGGACAAGGTTCTGTTGTTGCAGATTGCTGTTTCGCCAGCAGGTGGCGCATCAGGCCAAATTACTTATTACTGGCTTGAAGCATTATCATCAGGCTTAGTGTGGCTATGGAAACAGTTGATCTGTATTTTTTCTGTTGCTCTGGGTTAATAGGGTTTTTGTTTGTTTGTTTGTTCTGATTGTTTTTGTTTGTTTTGAAACTTGTGGATGTTCACAGCTAGTTCAAGGACGGCATGTGTTGCTTATCTTTAAACCACACGCTGCATTTTTGATCTCCCTGATTGGGCTTTATACCTGTTCAGTCTATTTGTGTTATACGCTTTAGTTACAGCGTGAAAAAAGTAAATAAGTCCAGCTTCTAAGGACATTAGAAATCAGCAAGTGTTACCACTGTTTATGTACTTTGATATGTTCATGGCTCATCACATTATTATGTGTCGTGTGACAGATGTTCTGCAAATGGTTTCTTCAGCTGTTGCTGCATCTGTTATTGGCCATACAATATTACTGGATCAAAACTAAGCTAACATGCACAACATTAAGAAGAAAAAAGTACTGTATTCACAAGGCTGATTGGCGTCAATAATCTGCTTTTCACAGTCTTGATTTGGCATTTTTGTGACATTTGGTAATTTTGAAAAGGCCCTTGTTTAGTTAGGCATTTGGAGTATACATAATAAAAATAATGATTAGCAGGCCTTCATATTTCTGAACAAAAGTGTTTCACCCTGCCAGAAAAGAAAAAGAAAAAAAAAACAGTCCAGTCACTTTCAGTAGGCCTGCTCTATCCAATCTTGATCCCACACCCTGTTCTCTGTGCAGCTGCCCTTTTCATGAGCATTACTCACTGGCATGCTATGCAATGGCATACAGTAACACTCTAGCACATTTGCTACAGTGACCTTTTCTGTGTCTGTGTTCTATCAATGAAACTGCGGGTCCAAGTAACACATTTCGGAGCAGCGCTTTGCTTTACGTACCCTGCTCTGTACTGATGGGGTTAAGTCACAGTGTTGACACAAAAGAGAGCCCACTGAACCTCCTCTTTTAAGGGTCCTTAAGGACTCATGCAGCATTCCTGGCCCAGGCAACACCCTCACTGGGTGAGCTTCTTGATGGGAAGAGAAAACAAAAGAATTATTAGTATTCAGGGGCCAAAAGAAGCCTGTCTGAAAACATTTAGCTGTAAGTGTTGCAGTTTATTGTAGATGAAGTCTGGTTGATGAGCTGACGAACAATAATCGCTATAGAATTAGCACTGATAGGTTTGAGCAATTACATTTCGAGTAGTGTGGGTCATGTTCATTTATTGTGGTTCTCTGAAGTGTTCCTGGAACAAGGTATAGACTAGATAAATCATAGACACTTATGCTCTAAATTTTATTAGCAACAAAATGTTGCTTTAGTGGAATGACCTTCACTAGTGCAAAGCTCTTTGAAGGAGAATCAGACTGGAAGGCAATATTTTTCTGCAAGAACTTTTGAATTTATACATTTCCATTTTGATATAGGGAGAATGTCAAGTAAGGGAAAAAATCAACCCCTAATTGATATTCTGTCATATGTGGAGAACTGTGGTATTTATTTTAGAGAAACGTTCTGAATCTCTGTAAAGTTGTCAGTCATTCCTCTGAGTCAGGCTTTCTTGAATATTTTAATCATGCGGAGTGCCTTGTAAATATTTTACTACTTCTGGTAGAAGGAATAATGTGACATTTTCTGTATTGTAATGCTGGATGACCTCTGAACGCATACCCAAAAAAGGACAAGCTGTATAGACAGTGAAGCTTAAAAAACATAACTGCAAGAAAATGTTGTACAATTATGTTCTAACTAAAGGTACTGAACACATACCACATACTCTACATGGTACCACTCAAGTGACAACATTTCTATCCCAACAGGTACATTGAGCGTGTATAGGTGCACTTTGTTCTACATTTGTTAGATTGTAGTCCATCGTTTCTCTATGAATTTGTTAGCTCCACTTTTACTCGTTCATCACTTGTCAGAACCCCCAAAGAGCAAGTATTATTTGAACGGTGGATCATTCTCAGCACTGCAGTGACAGTGATGTGGTAGTGACATGTTAGTGCGTGTACTGTTAATATGAGTGGATCAGACACAGCAGTGTTGCCACAGTTTTTAAACACTGTCCACTCACTTTCCACTCTGTTAGACACACATACCCTATTGGTCCACCTTGTAGGTGTAAAGTCAGAGATGACAGCTCATCTGTTGCTGCACAGTTTGTGTTTGTCATTCTCTAGTTCTTTATCAGAGGTCAGTTTCTTGCCACAGGACACTGTTCACTGGATTTTTTTGGTTTGTGGGCTATTATTAGTCTAGCAGTGACACTGATGTGTTTAAAAACTTCTCTGTCTGATCCACTCTGGGGAACACACATGCACACACACACTCACATACACATCACTACCACATCACACCGCAGTAATCCACCAACCAAATAATACCTGCTCATGGTGGTGACCGTTGACCAGTAATAAACAAGGTAAAAGGGGGCTATCAAATTCTGCTGAGAGACAGATGGACTACAATTCTACCACCCATCATTTATTTAATTTATAGTCAAAACAGACATTAAGTAAAAGTTATTCATTTTTAGGACATTTTTCTGAAGAGATCTGAAAAAATCCACAGGTAATTCTGTCCATCCTTCCACTGTGAGAAGATAATTCAACACTTTAGAAGGATGTGTAGCTGTCAAGAAGTTGTGACTGAGAAAAAGGAAATAGAAAAAAGGAGAAAATTTGCAAATCAAGAGTTTGGTGTTCTCAGAACAATGGACTGCCCACCCCACTCAATGTCAATGAATGTGTTTGGGATTACTTGGATTGTGAGAAGGAGAAAATGCAACCAACTTCTAAGACTGAACTTTGGAGGCATGGAAAAATATGCCTGCAGATTTCTTTTAAAAACTGAAAGCAAGTCTCTAAAAAAGAATGGACGCTGTAACAAAGACAAAGGTTGGACACACCAAATACTGAAAAACCTGTTATTATATTTAGTTGTTGAGTCTTCTGTGTACTTATCTGTTAAATATATGTTTCCTTCCTTTTTTCCTGACACTGAAAAATGAACAACTTGTACTTAATGATCACTTTGTGTAAAAATTAAATAAATCAACAGTACTGTATATTTATCTGGTCTCTCATGAAACATTATGAGAGCAGTAAAAAGAAACCAACATCCTTGACAACAATAAAAAGTAACTATGTGGAAAAAGGGCAAGAATCATATTGTAAAGAAATGTCGCTGATGGAGCGGGATTTAACAAGGTAGCATAGAGAGCAGAAAGACCACAAAACATCCAGTGACCAAACTATAGTGTTTCTTGTGAACTGAGATGAGTAAAAGCCTCTGCTGAATGGATGTATCTCCTCTCTGTTGTCAAGGATTTGTTTGGTCCATTTAGGCTGCTGAAAGAAACAGATCCTCATTGAAAGAGGATCAGTGCTCCATGCTGAGGGCCTGTGGGAGAGGCTGCAGGATCTCTGCTTTGCCTGGACTGTTTTAAAGTCTAGTTTATTAGAGGAGGCTTCAGTGAGTGAGTGAGAAAACTTGTTGATGAAGCACAGCAAGTCCTAGAAAATAATCTAGCCCAGGGTTATCAAGGGCAAGCCTCCCTGTCCCTATGGACTACTCAGCAGCTAAGCTATAACAATAAGTCCTTTATTTTTTCTAGCCCATGAGTATGTGAACAGTAATATTGTCATGACTGCTTGTGTTATTTTGCCAAAAAACGATTAGCCATATCCTTTAGAAAATGTCCTACATGAATATTCACATTACACTGATAATTCCATACTGAATACAATGGAGGCCTATAGAATACAATTTAACAGCATCACTCACCCATAACCATAATGCAAGTAATGATTTTGGGGATTCAGTTGTCTCAATTTTACCTTAAAATCTTGCAGAGACAAGAAAAACAAGAAAATAAACAAGAAAGAGGTAAATTATGTTGCTGGTGACTTAGAATGACAAAAGGGGTTCAAAAGGAAAATGCTGACCTGGTTTATAGGGAGGGGCTTCCATGTATTTCCTGCATTTGCTGCTTGCCTGGATTAGACTGTTAATTTGTGCATGCCCCGATTAGACTTTGATTGTGTGGGGGTGGGTGAAGTGTATTTGGGGTGAGGCACAGATTGGACAGCAGAGGGATTCATGAGGGGGGCTTGGGCAGGATTAGCATAGGGGTACAGGGGATTATGTCTTGTAATCTCCTGTACCCCTGGCTCAAAATTAATGCACATTTAAGGAAAGGCTCTGAATCAATAACAGCACAGGCCATAAGACTAATGCAACAGGACAAGGCGAGATAAAACTGAAACTGGACCAAAGTGCTGGTTATTGTGGCAATTTTCTGTCAATTTAGTCATTTATCCATTTAGTTTAATAACTTTAGTATAAGTTCGTTGTAGTAGTAAGAGTCTCCCTTGTTATGTGTTACTATGAAAAGAAAGGCTACAACTGTCCCGTCCAAAAATAGAACAGCTGTTGAATATGATGCTACACACCTCAGTCCTTGGATAGCGCTAAGTGCTCAACTCTGCTAGGTGACCATTTAGGCTCGTATATCAAGTGGAGGAAAAAGGGGCCCCACCATTCTCTTTCTTTTCCATGAGAATGCAACTAATCGCATTCTGAAAGACCCTAGTAGTAAGATGTACAATTGTGCAGCAACCTTGACTTGGGATAAAATCCCTGGGTGAACTAAAACATTCCCTTAATGTGAGAATTGTTTTGATTTCTAAATTCAATACTGTCAGCTATATTTTCATTTTTACTATATATTAGTTGTTGTTTTTTTAAGTCTTATTAATTTAATATCTGAGATGTAAACGAAGTCATTTTGGGTGGTTTGGTGTGAAATGGGTCATTGTAGATTGTTTTTTCTTCACAGTGGTGGTGATAGGAACCAGGGGTCATGCTGTCTAGTATGCAAATATAGCCATTTTATTTACTTTCCAAACAACCAGTGAACCTACATGTGTCTTCTGAGTTTTTATATGTAATGTTGATGATGGTAAGATAATGGTAAATGTAAAAAAAAATGTTTTTGTTGGGGATTTAATTTTTTATTTTGCCTCACAACCTCCTACATGTATCTCTCTGTCTTAAAAATATGATTTAATCTATAAATTCATCTCAAAACTATAAAACACTGTGTCTGGCATCATTCATTTCGCAAACTTTCTGTGAGAGAGCTTTAAAGTCCTTCATCTCTTCAGATGTCTAGTTCCTATCTGAATGACTCTGTTTATATCTTAACCATTTAATTATACAGAAATTTTGATAAGTCAGTGAAAGTCCCATTTAACAGAAAGATAAAAGGTAACAGACTAAAAAAAATATTATGTACTACGTTTTGGAGAAACCATTTTTAGCTGAAGCAAGCAGTAAGCGTTTATATCCATAGTGTGCAGCACCTTTTTCTGGCCCAAAATGTTGGCAATATAACTTCCTACCAGTTGAACGTCTTGACTTGAATAGCTGGAATCTGGATTAGCTCACTTACAACATATAAAGCATTTTTTAAAGAGAACTGTCCGTTTCTAAGAATCGAAGAAAAGACCAGATAGCAACTAAAGACTTACAGGTTTGCAAAAATGCACGCACAACACACAGTTTATGCTGTTAAATGGCAAAAGATGCTAACTGTTGGGCCCATAAGATAATAATCGAAAACAATCGGTTGGATCCATTTACTAAAAATAACATAACCATGGGAGATGAGGTCTTCATGTAAACCCATCGTTACCCTTCATCACAGTATCAGTGTCTTTTTCACAGATAGGAGTAAACTGTATTGTTGGGCCTAGAAGATAAATAATAATCGGTTCAATCAATGTATTGAAAAGAACGGATTCAAATCTGTAGAAGCGAGCAGGCGGTGTACCAGGTGAGGCTCAGCTCCCCTGTTTTATCAGGCGCAGTGGTACAGCCCAGTCTCTGCCTCGTCCCTATGGAGTTGTTGCTGAGGAGCTTTCAGAGTTTCGGGGAGAGCGAGAGAAGGCGGGCGGTGATATGGCGCTAAGAATGACTGCCCATTATCTCAGGAATAACCCGATGCAACCCGGGCTTAACGTTAAAGTCCTGCTTCTTCTTTGCATCGCGTCTGGTAGGTTTCGTCGCTTATATTTTTAACTAGACGGTATGTCATTTGTAGAGTTGTGTGGCAAACTATAAAGTACTCAGTTAAGTTAGCAGGAAACAGCTAACCTAGCGTTCCCCAACTCCACTCCAGGGGCATCGCCTGGGCTGCGCAGCGTTTGTGCTTCGCCTGCTCCGTTACACGTGCTTGAACCCACGAAAGGCTGAATAATATGCCAAATCAAGTGTGTTAGACTTGGGAAAACACAAAGCCGTGCAAGGCTGTGGTTCCTTTTTACTGAATCTGGGGAACACTGGAGAGTGATGCTGTCCAAGCTCGTGGATTCAGATTCGTCTTTCTTAAAAAGTTCACAAAAGCGATTCACTAAAGCCGCCGTTGTATATACGACTAAAGTTAGCTATCACAAGCTTGTTTAACCTGTTTAAGCCGAACAGCTCTGACTATTTCTCTCTGCTTGACGAAATTTTCTTCTTCTTTGTCCGCAAACTCTGTAAACGTTTATGTACATGCGGTGGAATCCCGCGGCTGCCATGGAAACGATCCGCTACAAGCTAGTGCGGGGCGACAGGAGCGTTAGCGTTAGATATGAATCTCTGCGGCTGTGTTCAGTTCGAACAGAGAATAGTCTAAAACACTTTTTTGAGGCAGGTGTTGTTTTCCAATGTTTACATCCACGACACTTTTTTTTTTGTCCAAAACGTTGGCAAAGCTACTTTCAAACCATACCAACCTTTAGACGTGCATAGTTTGGTTTAGTGTTTACATAGCTAACCTTGAGAAATGTATAGTGAGTTTTGTTAGCAGATGTGGTTAGGTTAGCTAGCAAAAGTGATAACGTTATATCTGTAAACGGGACCAAGCCCCAAGTTCGGTCCCACTAGCATGGTTTGTCGCTGGCTAAGGTAACATTACTGTGCTGCGTCTTTAAACAGTGAGACTTTTTTCTGTTCACTCAAAAGAGACAGATTCTGTTGCGTTCTTGAAATGTATCTTCATGTTTTGTACGCGTGTGCAATGTGATTCTGTTCCAGAAATAATACCAAAAGTTTAACTTGGTTTCATCGCCTGGAGTGAGGTGTTTTTTTTTTTGTTTTTTTTTTGTTGTTTTTTTTTCGCATACACGTTAGGACTCCACCTGTCACGACTCCAGTAGCTGTCTGTAAGAAAGCCTCAGCTGGTTTGTGTGGTATTCTCAGCTGTAGGGTTTAGTGTAGCATAGACTGGACGGTCCAGCTGCCGAGACAGTGTCGCGTCCTTGTGCCCGATCGATTTCTCCTTGGCCAGGCTCAATTCCTTCGTTGTCAAGCCGTGTAGGCTATTCCCCTGCCTGCCCGAGGTTTATTAGCACGGTGGAGGGAAACACTGTCGCCTCTGTGTGTGCACGCCATGCTGTTAAATGATTAAATAAACATTTGGACGGTGATAAGACATTTGCAAACCATGCTGGTTTTCCTCATTTGAACCAGTAGCTGGAAGTGTCGAGAAGTATTTGGTGGCAAAGTGTGTCTGCTGGCACTGGTACAGTTTAATTGGTCTTTTTGTAAACTAATATTTGCCCTATACAGCTTTTGCCTCTCTCAGGGACAATGGTAAAATGTGTACTGCTGGTTGTAAAGGAGGGGGTCAAAGGTCAGGACCGTCAGAGCCAGTGTCTCTGCTAGGGTGACCCTGCGTCCAGCGGGGTTGGCCACTGTGGCTCCCTCCTGCAAGTACTCCATGCATGTGTGGTCAGTAGTTGCTTTAGTATGACTGATGGAGGCAGGGGAATGAGCACCAGGAGCAGCGAAGAACAACAGTTAAAATACCATGCAGGAGCTGGGGATTAGTCCTGGTATGCCTCCCTCTCTCTTTCTCTCTCTTTCCCCTCATGCGGTGATGGATTGTGCCCTTGTACTCTCAGTTACTTGCAGTTATCTTAATTTTGAATCAAATAGGGTTATTTGTTTATTTTCCCACCAAGGATGTCCAAAGCTTTGTAGTCACCCTTTGTAATTCGTACATTTGGCTTCTTTTAAGGTGTAACCTTTGCTGGCACATGCGTTTAATTGCACATTGTGTGTAATCTCCACATAAAGGAATTGCCAGTGGAATGGAACAGCAGCTTATGAGCCTAAGGTCACCATGCCCATTGCCAGGCATCAGCTAGAGAGGTATAAACTGCGTTCAACTGTGTTGCAGTAGCATTTATGACCTAAAACTATCAACCAATATCAGTACCTGACCTCACTAATGCTTTTCTGACTGAATGCAGTCAGATCCTCACAGCAGTGTTCCAACAGACTGTAAAGCCTGGTTATGGTGACCTTAGGCTGTTACTGCAGCAAAGTGGGATTAAACTCCCTTCTCATACCATTCATTTCAGGAGAAATGTTGGTTGAGTAGGTGTCTACAAACTCCTAGGGTTGGGTTCCAGGGTTGGGATTAAGCCTAATCCTGGACTCCACAGTATTCTGAATGGAGAATCTTCATTAAAGGAGAAAGTGTATTCCAGGATGAGGTTTAATTTCTCTCCTGGAAACCAACCTGTAGTGTTCCTGGTAGTACTTTCCTAAAGACTGACGTTGCCTACACTTTTGTCATATGACAATGAAAATTTCCTTATCAGGTTAACTTTGGAGAAAATGCACCTCAGAACTTCCTCTTAGCACTTGCAAAACACATGGGACCTCAGAGGTCATTTCAGAATTTACATGAACTGGTTGCCAGAGAGACGAACTTGCAGTGCTGTCATTCATGATTTCCTTGTGTCAGTCTTTCCTTCCTTATTTGACTCGTTCTCATCGCTCTCTTCTCTCCTTCTTTTCTCAGATCGATAAAAGCACTAAAAGGTTACATGGGAATTGAGACATTAGTGGTGTGGGCTAACTCTATCCTTTCAGCACTGCTTAAATCACTGGAGCTTGGCCTTCTGTACCCGTTCCCATTAACAGCACTTTCATGGGGTTCCTGTATTTTAGTAATGGTGTCATTAGTGCATTGCATGATATGGTTTTGGAAGGAAGTATGAATTTAATAGGCATTAGATCTTAGTGCAAGCTAATGCTTGGTAGGTGATGATCACAGTAGTCTTCTATCTACAAACAAAAAAACAGTTAAACCAAGTACTGTACACATGAAATACTGCTTCCCTTCTCAATCTGCATTATGTATGCATCAACTATTCTTCGCTGGGGAGGAAAAAAAATGTAGTGGCTTGACTTTGCATCTGGAATGTTTTGTGTTCCCCAGTTGTTGGATCAGAGATGTTTCCACTCTGTAGCACAGGGCATACCACTTTGAGAGGGGGTTGAATAATGAATGACCTCTTTATATAGACGCTTTCATCTGGGTTCATGAGAGCTTACCGGGAGGCGGGGGCTCTTTAGCAGCTCACCTTTTCTTTCAACCACGACTCAACTACCATTTCACCTTTCTGTAATTATATGGAATCTTACAGTCTGAATCCCACGAGTGGCTTTAATGTACATCTGACGAATAAGCTAAATGTAAATCAGAATTGCGTTTGTGGGTCACTCTGTACTTTGATGGGATTGCTGGTTTTTTCACCCCCTTTATTTATGCACCTCCATCCTCCTTTTATTGTTCCTGCCCCCGCCTAATTAAATGTCTGTTAAATTTTATATATTTATTTTTCTAAATGATACGTCAGGGGTGTCCAATCTCATCCGCAAAGGGCCCATGGGGCTGCAGGTTTTCATTGCAGCCATGCAGGAGCACATGTGATCAGTTGTTTAAAGACTGACTGATTAAACGAGTGATCTTGTTTGGAACAAAAACCTGCACCCACACTGGCCCTTTGTGGATAAGACTGGACACCCCTGGCTTAAGTAAATCTATTTTTCCCAGGTTAACACACACTTATTATTGTTTGTAAGTAAATCTGAAATAATTTTTACTGTGCAAAATAGTAAAAACAGAACTGATCAATATATTAACAACCCTATGCGAATGCAGCAGATTCTTAGGGTCCAGCAAAAACAGTGATCATGTTGTTTGTGTGTGTTATGTCATTTAAGTCATCTGTCTTTTATGTCATCTGTGCCTATGATATATTTAAATCTATGATTAACAGACACTGCTGGAATTTGGTAAATATTAACCAGAGCAGCTCGCAGCAAGCTGAAGACCGGGCCCTGAGGATGCATCATCTTCTGAAGCAGCTGACTGAGGAAGGCAGCCCTACAGGTGGTGCTAGAGGTCTCAATGCCTAGATAAAGGATTACTCCAAGAGACTGGTTGTTCCTTTCGTATCACTCTTATGTCTGCTGCTTCGATTGGAGGTGATCGAGGGACTGCTCCATTTCCATTTGCATTTATAACATCGCTGACTCAGCTATTCAGCTTAATGGTATAACATTAGCATGTTATGCACAGTTTGTACGTTGCTTTACCGACGCTGATTTTGGGCATGCCAGTTGACGTCTACTAGGGTGACATCTACAAAACATCTACAGTGGACATTGACAATAAAAGTTTGCTGACAAGTGAGCATTTTTGAAAAGTGCCAAAATGGGTTCTTTGGAGTGATGCCATAGAAGAACCTCTTTTCTATGCATTCTATGACCATTTTTGTTTTAGTGAGAATAAGCTTTGTAACTTTAATGTTAAGGCTCTATAGCAGTTATAGCAAGTTTTTTCCTTGAACCAGACATCTGAGCCAAGAACATTTGGAAACTTTTCTTTTTAAGATGCATATAGCCATCAGATTTAATGCCTAGCGCTTCTTTGTATGTCCATATCCTAGGGCTTATTATTCAGTTACGTGGAGAGCAGAGCAACATGAGTTATTATTTTGTTATAGAAGTGAGGAACAGGAGTTGGACCTCTATGGGTCTGTGGAGGTTAAGAAGCTATGGGTTAGGGGCTTTGGGTAATAAATTCTTAAAGCTTTCTGAATAAGTCATAGTGCCGTAGCATGGTCCCACTATAATTAAAACTCTCTGGGCGGTGACCAGTTATTTTAGTGTGGTGTAAATCCTTCATTAGCAGTATATGTAGGTTCATCT